CATTTTATAAAGATAATAATTAAGTATTCTGTTAAAACTCAATGATTATCCTAATTATATTTTAGATTTTTTATATTTAAAATGAAATATTTATCTTGTATTTGATTGTGTTTACACGCAGTTAGTTACACGAATTCAGATATGGAGCTTTAATAAGTTGTACCTACGCACAATTACTTGAAATATTGAGTTTTAAGTAATATGCATTAATAAACAATACTTTACGCATAAAAAGTGGTTTTTAAGAGTTTTTGTCAAATGATTTATAATGTAAAATATATATTTTTTATATATAATTTAATTTATGTTTAATAATAAAACAATTTATTTTTGGTTTAATATTATAAATTTTATAAAGATAATAATTAAGTATTTTGATAGAATTTAATGATTATACTAATTATATTTTAGATTTTTTATATTTGAAAATTGATGTTTATCCTGTATTTGATTGTGTTTATCTGCAGTTAGTTACATGGATTCAAATATGAGATGAATTCGGATAAGGATGAAATCGTTTAAGGATGAATGAGTTTAAGAGTTTTAGCCAAATACTTTATAATATAGTATAGATATACATATAGACACGTAACGATGATATGAAAATGCATTTGATCCACCGAGAAATGTGGTGAACGAAGAGAAGGGGAAGGGGGGAGGGTGTGGTCAAAAGAGAGAGAGGGGTGGGTGGTGGCGCAACCTTTGACTTACATTTGTAGAAGTAAACAACACCTAGGGCCAAGGGTGGCGCATGTCACGTGAAAGATCCCCAAACCATAGCCTTTTTTATTACACCCAACACCACGTCATCCTATGTGGCCCCATCTCTATTTCGCCATTTCTCACAAATTATTTCTCCTTTTTACTATTTTTTTTTTAATTTAAACAATTTATTTTCTTTATTTTAAATATATATATATACACACACACACAAAAAATACTCATGACTACTCATAATCACTGATTTATCTCTATTTACAAGACAAACATTATGAAATAAAAAAAGATTAAATAGATTTTGTCATATTTTATATTGTTGACATTATTAAGGGTATAATAGTAAATTGATATGATATATCATTTAATAGACTTTATAAGGTGCAATTGACATAACGGGTTAGACTTGATATTTAAGAGGTTTTGTATTTATGGTGTTCACTACCTCCCTTCATTTTTTCGAATCTTTTGTATTATTTTCATTTGCTAAATAATTTGAATCTAAATCATTTAAAATATATTTATATAAAAATCAAAAACTATAATTTATTCAAAACAAAATACGTTAATTACCGAAAAAGTAACGTATTTATTGACATTTTGAAGGAAGATTTTAGAATCAAATTTTGTATAAAAAAAATTGTTTATTTCTATGCAATTTGGGCATGGAAATATGTGAAGGACAATAATTTAGGAACATGAGTTTTTTTTTGGGGGTACATATTATTTTATATTCCCAATAAAATGTGAAATATGCTTTATTCAAGGTGGATAAGATATATTTTAAGCAGGCAGACAAGCAAAAGAACCAATTTGTTTTAAAGTTTGTGAATATAGATATTTTTATAATAACTGAAATGACCTACATACCCTTCCCCCATCAAGAAATGACTTGAAAGTCCCTCTAAATTTGAGAAAATGTCAAATTCATTCTCACATGGGAGAAGTTGTTAAACGGGTTATTATCAATCGCTATCTTTATTCTTTTAACCTCGAATATTCCGTCCATGCAAATATATATATATATATATATAGAGAGAGAGAGAGAGACTTGAAATCATGTGAGACCAAAGGTTTTCCGTGAGACCCGTAAGACCAATTCTCAACCTTTTGATTAGATCTAAAATTTGAACATTCGTAATCACAAAATTGCCACACGACTTCTCAATAATCATAAAATTGCCACCGTGCAACTTCAGATCATTAGATCATTAGCTTATAAAGTTGATCAATGAACATAAACTGGTCTTACGGGTCTCACAAAAAACCCTTGATCTCACGTAAACTCAACCCTTATGCAAATGTCTTACACATTTATGTATTGCCTGTTTTTACATTTAATAAAAAGGAAAAAAAACTATTTACACAAATTACCCCAAAAAGAAATTGAGTTTATGCAAATGCGTAAAAAATTTGCATAAATCTTACTAAAATGAAAATCTTATTGATAAAATGGCTAAAAAATTGAATTTTGTACCGAAAATTGGCTAATTTGGACTATAAATATTTACATATCAATAAAGTCAAAACTATAAATCTTATAAAATAATTAAAATATATGCTTCAACAGGCCAAATATCAACATGGTATTTTCAGGGGTTTGTTTAACTCCCAATAAGATTTGGATAATTGTGGGTTTCTTTATAAGTTATTGGTTCGAGTTATTCCAAACTTATTGGAAATTTTCTTGACTTCTTTTCAGGATCCTATAAAATCAGTTGAGTTATGTGTAAACTCATCTAAACATAAATGTCATATATTAAATCAAACAAGTAGGATCTCTTCACAAGTTTGGTATAATATTTTTATCAGTATGCGCTGTGGCTCTTTGGCATCTTTGGAAGTGGCGGAACGAAATTCTCTATGCTGAGGATGAGGTGAAAACCAAGAAAAAAGGTGAAGATCCTTTTCCTTGTGTTCAAAATTTCTCGAAGCTTTGGATGGGAAACATAAATCGTAAATTTCATCTTAATTGGGAAGTTTGGTCTTCCTCTCCCTATTTTATTTAGTCTCTTCGTTTTTGTCCTCCAGCCTGTTTGGGATAGGTTTTCTTTTTTACTTTGGTTTTGTAAGGGGATGTCTTGGTTATGTCTTTTTGCCCCTCGCATTTTTGGTTGCGTTGTATTTTCTTGTATCTAGCTTCTTGCTATATTTGTTTTTGTTTTAATATAGTGGTTGGCTTGGTGAGGGTGATGGCCTTGCCGAAACTCTCTTCCTTGTCCTTCCTTTTGCCTTTCAAAAAAAAAAAATCAGAGTCGTGGACAACTTTTGGTGCGATCTAGGTTGTATACTAAGTCCCCCATACACCACTAAGCCCCTCTCATATATTATTACACGTGATAAATGTGTTATTAAATGTCATATTATAATTCATCACATGTGATATTAATAAGTTATAGATGCAGACGATCTTTGGCGCGACCTAAGTCGCAGTGTAGGTTGTCCGCACCCCACCAGGTCCTCTCATGTGCATTATCACATGTGGTAAGAATGTTATTGCGTTTTCGTAAAATGAAAGTGTTCTCCTTTGAACCCCCACATTGACTATGCATTCACTATAAGTTATTAATAATGTTGATTTCAGTACTAAATCAACCGTTAGAATGAGTTAGTAATGAATGTAAAATTAAGAGCATCTCCAACAGTTATTCTATACACATAAACATTAAAAGTCAAAATCTATAAAAAAAATCAAATCAAACTTCAATAGTCTAATATAACAATTCTAATATTAATTACATTAATAAAAATTCAATGCATACAATAAAATTTTATTTATATTTTCCTACACATTTAATTTTAATATTTCATATTAATAAAAAAATAAAATATTATTTTTTATCTATTCTTTCTCAAATTTGGCATATCATTTAATATAATTGGAATAAGAAAATTTCTAAATCTCCCAACTCTCATTTTCATAAATTATTGATTGTATTAAATATCCAATAGTAATGTATTTTACTAAAAATAGAAAAAAAATATATACAATACAACTTAGGGGCCGTTTACCAAACATTTATATGGTAAGTGCTTACCGGTAAACTTTAACACTATTATTTATTTATCAAGTAAGATTTTAGTTCACAAAAACGACATTGTATTCAATAATATACCCGGTAAATGCTTACTGGTAAACTTTAACACTATTATTTATTTATCAAGTAAGATTTTAGTTCACAAAAACGACATTGTATTCAATAATATACCCGGTAAATGCTTACTGGTAAACTTTAACACTATTATTTACTTGTCGGGTAAGATTTTAGTCAATCAAAATGATATTGTATGCAACAATTTACCTGATAAGCGCTTACCGTAGTAAGAATCGCCGCTCTCATTTACGGGGTAAGACTCATGGTATTTGTCTCGTTTTTACCGAGTAAGATTCTTGGTCCTTACCATATTCATCCGGTGAGATAATATGACTTGGTAAGCGCTTATCCAGATAAATATTTGGTAAATGACCCCTTACTTTTCTTTAATTCTATTTCATGAAAACCAAATATCTTCTACTTTTCCTTACTATATTTTAAGCATAAATAGAGAAATTAAGCTGCTTTTTTATTTTTCAAGAAAAAATAGAAGCATAATACTATTTTCGTTAATTAACTATTTAAAAAAAAATAAATATTTATATTTTTATTTATATTTATTCCAAAACAATTATCCATTTTCAGTATTGAGAAGTAAATAACTAAATCCTCATATTATTCTCAATTAATACTTAAATATTTAGAAATTCTAAGAGAGGGAAATTAAATAAGAGTAAGGGTTTGTTTGTTTACCTTTTAATAGCCTCTGAATCGTTAAAAGTTGAATTCTGTTTGGCAAAAAAATCTGTCTCTTAATGGTTTTAAAATCTTCTGAATCATTTTGCATTATGGGATTCCTTTAACCATTCAATGCTCTAATTTCATTGTAAATAATTATCAAATAATTATATTTCATTTTATACTATATTATGAGAGTCTTTTAATCATTTTGATCACTTGCTCATTGGTTAAACACAAAACATAATAATTATGTGTGATTAAAACTCTGTCATTTTAATTATGAACACTTATTTTATGACGAATGAGTATTTGAAATAAAAACATTCAAAGGAGGCTAAATTGCAAAATCTGTAATTTTAGAAGGACTGTTTTGCAATTTATCTCAAGTGGACTACAATCAAATCTTAAACTTCAATCTCTCTTTACAAAGATTTCAATTCCGTCCAATTTTCGTTCCAAGCTTCGTCTTCTCCGCAGCTTCACATCTTTCTCTCTCTTAAATTTATTACCTTTCTTTCTTCTTCTTCTTCTTTCTTCAGAGCTTTCAAAACCAGCTTCAAATGAACTTATTCTCCATGAAAACCCTCTAGATTTCAACAGTTTCAAACTATGGATTTTGGGATGACCACTTTCGACAATACTCCTCCTCTCTTAAATCACGATGAAAAAACCAACACCATTAACAACCATGGATCTGGGTTCACCAAGCAGGAGAGATCTGAACCAGACCCACCACCTGATGATCAACAACTGTTTCTTCGAACCTCCAAATCTTCAAGAACAGATTACTTTGACCAACCCATCAACAAGACAATGCCCATGAGATCTGATTCTTTGCTTTCAGTTTCAGCTGCTGATGCTGGTGTTTCCAACCACATGCTTAGTTTTTCTTCTTCTTCTTCTTCTTCATCCACAAACACCGTTAAAGATGGAAATCAGACCTCACTCTTTTCTTTCTACCAGCCTTCACCTGCCTACATTAGAAATACAGGTATCTGTGTCTATTTGCATCCATTTTCTTGCATTAAATCACCAAAAGAAACTGTTTTCTGTGTGATCTTAGAAATCTTTATGTTTTTTAGGTTAAATTAGTGACTTTGTAAGTTGGGTTTTGGAAAATGAATCTGTGTTCTTATTACAAATTAATTGGGGTGAGAAATCGGAGGTGTTTTTAGGTTTTGATTTGGTAATTTCTTCTTCCACAGCAATATTTAGCAAATCCAGAAAGAGAGTGCTATAGTGACTTGTACTACATGCATTACAAGTTATACATTTCTCTGATTTTATTAATTTCAGCTCTGGGAAAATGGGGTTTCTCTTAAGATGGTGTCACTAAACAAATGGCATCTATGGTTAGGAGGTGTTGTCATATTGTTTTTTTGGCTTTCAGCTCGGAAATATCTAAATCCATTAAAAACTTACAACTTCCACTGTATGATGTACAACTTGATATAGCATTACTGATCGGTATCTCACCATTTGTGGTCTGAAATAGGCCTAGCCTTTAGTAATAGGTGATGGGTCTTTTCATTGGCATCTATGTCCTGCTATTTGGAAGCAAGTCTTTGTTCTTTGAGTCTTGTCAAGTCTTTTCTTTTTTTCTTCTTTCACCCTTTTTCATTAATCTTTTTACTGGTTTCCCCTTGAGGGATTTGATTTATATTTACTGAAATAACTGTTCTACTTTAATGGGTTTGGTTTGGCACAAGGACTAAACATGACTAGACAGGACATTATGGTCGATTGGGGGTAGGAAGGGGAAAGAAGCCTGCAAGGTTTTGGGGTTTTAACTTTTAATCATGCAAGGTTTTTGGGTTTTAATTTGATCGATAGTTTAGTAATTTTGTGTAGTTTCTTGATTTTTGTTCTGACTAGTTTGGCGGGACATAAAAATTGCATCTTTTTTCCATTCTGTCAGCCTGTTCTATCTTGTCCTGTTTTATCGCCCCTTCAAAACTGACCTTAGGAGATGATCATTTGTGGGTATTTGCAATTTGGATGCTAATTTGAAACAGGTAGGACACAAGATGGAAACAGAAGATAATGGCAATAACTTGTGTTGTTTAATGTTGTTATTGTTTCAGGGTATGGTTCTGGAGGGTTACAAGCAGGTATGCAGATGCCTGTTTCAAGATATAAAGGACCCTTTACCCCTTCTCAATGGATGGAGTTGGAACACCAAGCTTTGATCTACAAACATTTTGTCGCCAATGTGCCCGTTCCTTCGCATTTGCTCAATCCGCTCCGAAAATTCCTAAACACTTTTCTTTTCCCAGGGTCTTCGTCTTCAACCTCCTATGCCCCCAATTCCTGTATGTATAGTTAATCTCCAATGGACTTTCTTCGCTTATTCATGCTTAAATATTGACTTTTGAAGCCCAGAGGGATAGTGTTTTCAACTCAAAATTGATTTGGTTTGATTCTTGATAGAAAAAGTTCAATCTTTTATTCATAGTTTATAAGATTTCGCAAATAGAAAATTTATGGTGACGAAATTCTATCACGATTCATGTCAATTTTGAGTTGTACAAGTATTGATTCTGACCTCAATAGTCAAAATGTGTTTCCTTTTGTTGGAAATTTTAGTTCTTTTCTGTGTGAATTGTTTTAGAATCTGATTTGTGTTTTTGGGTATAAAGATGGATGGGGAACTTTCCATCTCGGGTTCTCGGGTAACACCGATCCAGAACCAGGGAGGTGTCGTAGAACAGATGGGAAGAAATGGAGGTGCTCTCGAGATGCTGTTCCTGATCAGAAATACTGTGAAAGACACATCAACAGAGGCCGCCATCGTTCAAGAAAGCCTGTGGAAGGCCAGAATGGCCATGCTGTCTCGGGTCCCGCTGCTCCTAAAGTGGTCCCAGTCGTTTCCTCCTCATCTGTACCAGTTTCCGGCAGCCGGGCATCCACTACCGCCCTTGGTGGTGCCGCCATCGGCAACCAGTTTAAGACCTTGCACCACCATAATGCCACCATTGCTTCATCTACAGAGACTACTCCCATTAACAGGTGACTTATAAAGCTTCTATTTTTGTTTTCTAACGATTTACGGATTTCTAGTTGTGTAAACCAACCGGTGGTCATGGTGATGCAGGATACAAGAATCACAAGCGTTTGCCATTCCGAAACAAAATAATCCGGTTGAAGAATCCTCAGATTCTCTGATGTATCCCACAAACTATAGCTCTTTCTTGGACCAAGGTGCACCAAACCCGAACCCACTTCCCCATTTTGTGGACCAGTGGTCCAAGGTTCAGTCTGGTCGAACCTCCTGGCCTGAAGAACCAAAACCGGACTGGACCCAACTCTCCATGTCCATTCCCATGGCTTCGTCAGACTTCTCATCATCCTCAAACTCTCCGACTCAAGAAAAACTTGCGGTTGCACCACTTGGTCTATCTAATGAGTTTGACCTTGACCCGACCCACAAACAAGCATCGAACTGGATCCCTATTTCTTGGGGAAACTCGATGGGTGGTCCATTGGGTGAAGTTTTGAATCGAACTTCTAGTAGCAATGGGGTTAGGAGCAAGAATGCATCATCACCGGCTTCAGAAATGTGGGATCATGTTAACTATCAGCTGGGATCTTCACCTACTGGAGTCTTGCAGAAAACCACCTTCGTCTCGCTTTCGAATAGCAGTTCTGGGAGCAGCCCTAAAGGCAACCATGGTGGTGGCGGCGGCAGTGGTGGTGGCGGCCTTTGTGACGAACTGCTACTTTCGACACTTGCTAGTTGATCTTCCGACCACCCTTGTTGCAAGTCTGTGCCACGTTTCCAAAAAGGGAGAACTTGTTCCTGTTTTTAAGAGAGTTATGTTTCAAAATTTGTTGGTTTTGTGACCTTGGTTTTAGACAAAGGTTGATTTTGGAGAAACAAAAACATGTGTATCTTTGTTTTATACTATGAAAAAAAGCATTTGATGCTACATTTGATGTTAGATTTTGTGTTTTCGTATTCAAATATGTTAAAAATATCTTGTCAAGCTTCAAGAACATCTTGGGAGGTCCGGTGAGAATCATCACTCACGGTTGGTTTCCGATGAAAATAAAAGTTATAGTGAGAACCAAACATTTATGTACCTTCGTCTATGTTCACCTACCTCTATTTTCACGATTGAAACTGTGACAAACGGTCGTGAAAATGACTTAAAAGTGGAAAAATTGTAGATGAATGTAGTTGAAGATAATCGAAGGTACTAAAGTTGTTGAAGAAAATTAAGTTAGATTAAAATGTGTCAACTCATCCAAAGCTCTAGAAGTATTATAACGTTCTCATCATAACTGTTATTCTCACAAGATCTCTTGTCTAATCACGCATGCATTTATTATCAATCATTTTTGATTTCGTTGATCATGCACGGTGGTCCTGAAATTCTAGCGGCTGTGAATTACGCGATCAATTCTTCTCTTTTATGGACAAAATCTCATAGTCTGGTTTGCCCAATTGTTATAGTTCATGAAACCTCACTCTCACCATGTAAATCAACGACGTACCACGTACAGGTCAAGAATCTTACGGGTAAGTAAATGAAAAGACTCTTATCCGGTTAGGTTTTTCCAACAGGAGACACGTACCAACAATCCATTTTGATGGCCGAAAATGTTATTTATAGTTTTAGTAAACTAAAAAATTCCTTAACAAAATTGTAACATAAATATTTCATCTTGTTGCCAAAATATCGATTTATCAAGTCCTCAAACTAAATTCTCGGTTGTCACGTACAACGCCTCCAGACTATTCGTGGTCGTACGGAAGATTAGTCGGTTAATATAAGATAACCTGAAAACCCACATTTGACCAAAACAAAATCATTAAAATTTAGAAGGTATAATGATTATATTAAAATCTTATCTTTACTTCAAAGGATAAATTATAAGTGATTGGATTAATAAAGCATCCTTTTATCAAATGTAAACAGTGTAAATATTTACCGACAAGAGTTACCATCCATATTTACTAAGCGTCTTTTATCCGGTAAGAGTCTATTTCCTTTCTTATCAAGTAAGATTATTTATCCTTATCATGTTCATAAACGCCATTCAGTAACCAACTCGAAAATATTACTTAATAGCAGATCAACTAATAAGCTTAACTACTATTACTAAATTAACTTAATGGACCAGCTCTCATTTTTGTTGACCCAATCGGCCCAAACAAAAGAATAAACAGGCATTCTCGTATCCAATTCCAATCCAAGTATCCAACTATTCATATTTCTTAATGATTGGAATTTTCAATTGAAGTTTTTTTTCTAGAAAAAGAAAGATAGCATCCACAAATTAGAAGTGGTTTTTTATTCTCAAAACCATTTTTTTAGTTTATCAAATTCTTATATGATAAGTGTTTATCAGTACGAGTAGCTGTCCTCGTATCTTATCGTGTAACATTTCCAACCATCAAATGCATTGTTTGTTGTCGTCTTTTACCCACCAAGCGCTATCGAGTAAGAGTCTTCTCTCTTCCTTACATGGTAAGAACCTCGGTCGTTGTCATGACTCTTACCGGGTAAGATTCTCGGTTTTTGTTATGTTCACTGAGTAAGCGACAGTGTAAATACTTACCTGGTAAGTATCTGGTAGACGATCATTTTTAGTGGGCAAAATATTACATTGCAGATGCTCTTACATCTTCTTCTCCATACAACATTAAACTTAAACTAATCTTACCAATAATTAGTTTTAATCTGGCTGTCAAACTCACGACACTGACCAAATTTGAAACTCAAAATACATATCGTATCGCTTCTAACATAACTAAGTTCATTATAAAACACATCAAGTTTTCTTTTCTCGATGTTTATTCGGATCTAGAGATGAGAAACTTTTAACTAGAAAAAACCCACATGGACGGTAAGGTTAACTATAGTTGTGTCTGACCGGTTACCAAGCTTGGAGTAGTCGATTGGGTCAGTCATGTAACTGGTTTGGGCCAATATAGTTAAGTGCTCGAGCTACTAGCCTACCACTCTGGCACCAAGTTTTATGTAATTAGTTACTGTAACCGAGCCTTAGGCCCGAAACAATTTGTATATATTTTATATTTTCTCTTTTTTTATTTATAAACAAATAATTAAGTTTAGTTTAATTTAATTTATGCTTTACATTTAGTTTATCGCGGCCTTTTTAGTTTATTTCCATATATCTTATAAAGGTACAATCATTTTATGTATTTATAGTTTTCAAAACATGCAAATGATTTAGAGTACAATATATTTAAATGTGCATGTTTAGTGGGTACATGTGTGAGGTCATGTACTAGGATGCAAGTAGTATCAACCGGGACACGGTGAATATGTGCGGTTTTAATACATGTATCATAAGAGTATCTCTTTATATACAATTCAGTTCAACTTGCCCTAGATATAACAATTACATATATACCATGGTCACTGTATATGGTTGGTTCAGTTATGATAGTCGACCCCCACACTACGTCATATCAGTTGATGTGTTTAGTTATTTTATGTGGCATGCAAGCAAGATGAGTAGTGTTTAAATCAATAAACAGTATTTCAAAACCAACGTTTGTTTGTTTTTATATACGTATAAATTCTAAATTTATATATGAAAATATGTCGGATTTTGTTTATTATAACTAAGTTTTTTAATTTTCTAAAATTGTATGGAAGACAATATTTTAACAAATGTGTATTTATAGATTTCATGATCCAAATGTATTTTGTACTTTTTTGGGTATATAGTATTAACTGTTACCAACTAATTCTTTATAAGAGCTCATTTGCTCCCCTGCAAAGATACGTTTCCATTCCCTTAAAAAGCAAACACAGATGTCACGTCGTTTCAGGATGCTCTCCGGTCAGAACTCAACAACCACGGCGGTAACCGAGCCACCGCCGGAACCCGACAATGTCGATTCTGACTTCGTTGTCATCCTCGCCGCCCTTTTATGTGCCTTAATCTGCGTTCTCGGCCTTGTCGCAGTGGCTCGCTGTACCTGGATCCGCCGGATCTCTGGCATAGTCATCGTCGGTCGTACGGATCAGTCTCCACCAGCGGCTGCAAACAAAGGTCTAAAAAAGAAGATCCTGAAAACTCTCCCGAAGCTCACCTACTCCACTGAAACGATGGCCGAGAAATTCTCAGACTGCGCTATCTGCTTGACGGAATTCGTAGCTGGTGATGAGATCAGGGTGTTACCGCTGTGCGGGCATGGTTTCCATGTCACATGCATTGATACATGGTTTGGATCTCACTCCTCGTGTCCTTCTTGTCGCCAGATCTTAGTGGCGTCACCTAGGTGTAAGAAATGCGGTGAATTACCTGCTGCTGAATTAACCGGAGCTCAGACGTCTACGACTGCCGGAGAAACGAGTGCTTCAATCGACAGGTTTTTGCCCTAGCTCGAGATCCGATTTGATTCATTACGATTTGTTGTTAGGTTTAGAACTGTAAAAAAGTTAATTAGGTTGATGTTGAAGTTAAGTTAAGACACAAATCCCTCTGCAATCAAACATGATCATCCTATTGGTTCTAAAGTCTTCGTGAAATTAAACTGTATAAATTCCATCCTCTTCAAAATTTAAAATCAATTCAACTTGTTTGTATACTCTACAAATATTCTCTATGGTTTATACTTGACAGAGCTGTTTGTTCCTTTTCACTTTTGGCAAAACAACAAAAAGAGGAACAAATAATTGAGCTTCAATAAGAAGCTGGAATCTGGATTGTATTACATTGGGATCCAATGATCTGTGAAATAATTAATATTGTGTTTCTGTTTCTGTTTCTGTTTCTTATTCTATCTACTTCATCCGAGACTCTCTGAAATCAAATTACTTGAATTTTTTCATTTCACTTTACCATTCTTCTTGTGATCATCTGACTTGATCCTCATCGAAAACTATGCTCAACGAGAACTGAATCAATTTCTAAATTAGGAAACGAGATCTTCATGGATACGCAAGTTTAGGTCACAAGAAATTGTCAAAAACTGCTTGGTTACAAAATTTGTTGATGGTATATATATATATGATGTCTCAAATGGACACATTCCACACGCAAAAGATTGATAGCATCTCCCCCTTGCACAAAACATGGCCATTCATGTTGGATGTGTCAATCTTTTACACAACTCCTAGAAATGCTAATTATATTCATTGCATTGATAAGACAATATTAGTGGGATAACCAAATTTTCGAATCTTTCCGTTAAAAGCAAATGCAATGTTTTGACAGATAGTTTAATAAAGTTTTTATTTATTTACTGATAATCGAATACTTAAAATACCTTTTAAAAAGGCATTAGTCGAAAACTTGTGACTTATATTAATCTTACCAAGTACCGTATAATTAATGGTCGTTAATGATAGGGTTTGCAGAGAAGCCGAGTCAGAAGAATATTTTAGAGTTAAACTTAGGGATCATTTACCAAACACTTGTTACCAGGTAACATTTTCAGTCATCAAAATGGATTATGGTAAGCGTCTCACTTACTGGATAATAGTCTTCTCTTTCACATACCAGGTAAGATTCTTGGTCATTGTTATGTCTTTTACCAGGTAAAATTATTGGTCTTTGTCATGTTTACCTGTGAGGTAAGTGACACCCAACGAACTTTTATCTAAGAGTTCGATAAACGATCTCTAGTCTTGTTGATGCAGACTCGAGAAATATATAAACATTATTTCATAGCTTAAGTAGCTTGAAAATATTTTACGATCATGCTCAATAAAATAAATTGGATTTGATATTTTGTTTCCAATTTGAGAGTATAATAGTTGTGGCGTGCTGGTTAAATCTTAGAGGATGTAGTGAAAATCTCATCTTCTTCGGATTCAAATGTAAATACTGCTAAATTCCCTATGGCGATAGATGTTCATTGCAACAACTTCAAGCCATTAATAATCACCTGGGGATTAGTCGGTACGTATAAACTGGTCGGAAACCACGGCCACCCAAATAAGTGGCTCAAGAAAACTTTATTTCCCCCTATTTTTGTCTCATTATCAATCTTTTTTTAATATAACTATAGAATAAGACACAATTAGATTATTATAAGTACGAATTTATAATACATATATAATGTACAAACACATAACAAAACAAAATTGGATTAAAATAAGTGGATTTTGGGCGATAGTATTTAAGTAACAATTTACCAAACTTTCTAAAGATAATGAAACTCCACCTTATTATTATTTTATATAAAAAAATAAATAGTATTCCATTAGTTTTTGCTATATTTTAATGATTGTATTCCTTTTTAATAGGAGCCGTTGAATATACTAATATAACCCCCCACAATATTCCATTCCACCTATCTTCTTTTCTTGTAGGTAAGGAATTGTTTATTTAAAAATAATTAATATTTTTATATTGAGATTGGCTTAGAAACACATTTTTATTTTAATTAATAATAAATATAAGGTGTTGATGATAATATTTTTTAAAGGCACCATAAAATAAAATAAAAACAAATAATATTATAAATTATAATAAACAAACAAAGTTTTTCTACTGTATAAAAGCATGAGATACACTAACAAGGGTTATCAACAAAGATATAAACCGATCTTTAGTGGATCTCTCAGTAGAATTCAAACTCATATAAAATTATGACTATTCCAATTCATTCGTTCATAGAGTTATTTACCTGATCACAGACATTTATGGAACATCTCTAACAAATAGACAAAATAGTTAATAAGATGTAACACCATAAGATAACCAAGTCAAAAACACAAGCGCACACACTTTGTTTAGTGTTATTTATCTTAAATGTATTTTAGATGTTTAATTGTTAAATATAGATTTTTATTAAATCTCATGTCAAATAAAAATATGAAATTTATCCCTAAATAATAGTTAATATAGCTTGTATGGTACAATGACTAGTTAACTACTATCGTTCACGGAGTAACTAATCATTTTTCGAGAAAAGCAAAATTGTGTTTTTATAATGGTACAATAATTTCTAAGCTATGGTACAACAATTTTGTTTGTGGGCGCTGATGGAGACTGATAGCAGCCGAATAATGACTATACCAGAGATCCGATGAATCTAGGTACAACAAACCACTATGACAAAGTCGAGAATGCACATTAGGGTCCAATTATCTATTAAAAAAGGTATCCAATTACTTCAATATGATTTCCCAATTTCTTTTATTAAATAATGCTTACATGGATACTTGAGCAAAAAGTTGATTACCGATAACTCTAACCAGTCTTATGATTTATTTAACGATTAAAGTTAGCTGGAGTATCAAACCAGAGTCATGTTGTTAGAGCATCAACATCTCTAAAACATGACATTTTAATAGGTTTTACTATTTGGAAAAGTTTTTCTAGTGGGTTATTGTCATTGGATGCAAGCTTTTTAAGCAAAAGGCGAGTCTTTGATAACCATAATGAGAAAGGCTTTTGCAATAAATTTTCATTAATTAATCTATTTTATATTAAATATTCAAAATTAAATTAAGTATTTTTTTAATTTTATCGGGTACATTGTTGCATACGATATCGTTTTAGTGGACTAAAATCTTACCCGATAAATAAATGATTGTGTTAAATTTTACTGATATACGTTTACCGGATAAATATTTAGTAAACAGGGTAAAACTCTGAATTTGTCCTTTTATCTCAATCAATTAAAATATTTTGAAGGTTTAATGAGGGAGTGCCACGTGTGGCTCCCTACTTGATATCTCCTCTTTCGGTTTCCATCAAGTCACAAACATGTCCGGCGATTTATCCTTCTCCATCTCCATCTCCATCTCCGGCTACCATTTCTTTCGGGCTCCTTCTCCATCTCCATCTCCAACTCCAACTCCAGCCATGAAAAAACGAATTTTGGTTCCCTATCTGTTCAAAAACAGATGTGGAGCCTCCCCTCTTCGAAAGCACGTTGACGAATAACTCAGATCAAGTGTTAGATTTAGAAGAAGAAGGAACAAAAGGGTTAGGGTTCTTGATCCAAAAGTTCCCCATTCTGTTCATGTGAAAAGCTTCAATTTCACATGTGAGTGCTTCCCAAAAGCTTGCCATACACACACGATATACCACCGCCCACCCATGGACAATACTATCTATATATCTATCTACAAATATAGAACTCATATGGTAAATCTTTTAACTCCAGATCTGTAAATTAATACTAGATTTTCTTTTGAGTTTTTTTCCAAGTGTTTTAATTGCCTTCCTACTACACTCCTACACCATGTTAGCCATAAAAGGGAGGAGGTATGGTGAATGAGGGAGGTGAGATGGAGGAGAATGGTGTGAAGGTGATGATGAATGGTTGCCAAAGATGGGAGACGGTGGAGTGTGATTTGAGTGCGTTGTCGGACGATGGAGTGTGGTGGTGAGTGGATCGAGATGAGGGAGACGAGAAGCAAAAGGGCGTCGGCGATGAGGAGGAGCGCCGGTAGGGACGAGGGGATATCGCCGAGGAGATGGTTTATGTACGGGGACACATTAAAAATCTGTGTTATTATTTGTAGGGCTCTAAACGAACCGTTCGATGAGAAGTTCGTTTATTTAATAAATGAACGAATATGAACAATTTTTTTTGTTCGTTTAGTTAAACGAACGAACATGAGTCACGTTCGTTTATTTACGTTCGTGAACGTTCGTTCATTTATCGTTTATATATTAAATTTAATATATATAATCTTTTGTTTATTTACTTTGAATTCAAATGATATTTATTTATGTTCATTTAGCCCGTTCGTATATGCTCGTTTAGCACGTTCTTTACGTTCGTTTAGCATGTTAACGAACGAACACGAACACACATGGTTTCTAAACGAACGAACACAAAGATTTCTGTTTGTTTATCATTCGTGTTCGGTTAAGTTAAATGAACAAACATGAGCAAGCTTCCCTTCGTGTTCGTTCGGTTTGTTTACAACCCTAATTATTTGTATATTAGAGTTTTTTAATAAATTAATTAGTAATACTAATATTTATCGTAATATAGATATTATATTTTTTTAATGAAAAATATAAGAGGACCAAAATACCCTCAAGTTAACGGAGTTAAGGCTAACGACATTGGGATAAGGGACACAATCCAAAACAAAAGTGAAACCATAATAACCATATATATAATTAGTTTGTTTAAGGGATCCAATTCAAATTTTCATATAACCACAATGACCAAATCTGTAATTTACTCTAAATTTTATATCGTAAAATCTGAATATGATTTTAAATTTTTTGAATACAATAGATTGATGATTTTATATAATTTTTTTTAAAAAGTATATGAAAATGATAAATTTATAGAATATTTTAATAATATAATAAATATTTAAATATTTAAAATAGAGAATATGTTGCAGTCAAATGTTGTTGAAGATTTTGACTTTTTATTATCTATTTTAGATAAATTATAAAAATCTGTTGCAGATGTTTTAAAAAAATACATGAAAATTTCAAATTCAAATTCGCCCCTCTCTTCCTTGTCGTTCTTGCCCTCCATTTGCCGCCTTCATGTCATTACCGTCCTCTAGTCATCACCGACGCCTTACCTCCGATCACATTCTCAGATAAGTCGGATTTGATCGATTATTTATCGATATCGTTTTTCCTTCCTCATATTTCCTTGAATAGTATTATGTATAAGATGATATGTGCCTAGTGATGGTCAAAATCCGATCCCGGGCCGGTCCTTAACCGGACCTAACCAAGCCAAAAACCGGCGATAACCGGTCCCTACCGGTCCCGGTTCCGGTCCTCCGACGATTATGGGCCGGGCCGGTCCCATTTGGCCATCACTAATGTGCCCAATTCTTCGTACTTCCTTCCTACTATTTTTTGGGTTAAATTTGTTTCCAATGGGTTCTGGCTGCCAATTCTTGGAAACTTTCGAAAGTTGCATATTAGTCCATAAACTATCAAAGTTCTAAATTTTGCCCCAAATAAATTATTTAATGTTTATGAAAAATATAAAAATGTCCCAAAACTTTATAAAATGCAATTTTGTCATAAGATTGAAATTATATTAAGTTTTATAAAATTACACAAAGTTCCCTGGACTTTATAAACTACCATTTTGGCCATAGGAGTTAACTTTTGGAAAATTACAAATATTCCCTTATACTTTACAAAATGGTCGTTTCACCATGGTTTTGTGATTTTATTTCAATACAACGACAAATTACCCTTAAAAGTTGTAAAAAACATGTTCCGACTACATAAAGGTATTTTTTTTTCCCGTTGTGCTTTATATAATTTAATTATATTTGTTTCTAATAACTCTTATATGAGACAGAGAGTCGGAGATAATAACCACGTCAACATCAAGTCACTCTAATTTAATTATATGGTAACTGCTTTTCGGTTATTATCACCCTGAATAACAATTTTTTTAAAGTTATATTTCTACGACATCTGGAAGTTGCTAATCAAACTAGATTTTTTTTTTAAAGCCATAGTTTACTAAAACCCCCATTCTCCAAGGCACATAAAGGAAACAAAAGGAGCTTACAAACCCAAACCAAAAACAGGAAAAAGAGACGAGAAAAAGGAACCCCATGAAGCCACAGACGTCTCGTCATCAAAAACTGAACAACACAAAACTATCAAAGGAATCGTATGCCTATGGCCCAAAAGACTCCCACAATAAATTAAATCAAAGTTAGTTGTTAATTTTTTTATTTTGCAATTAACCCTTTATCTATTAGTTACTTGCAACTGTAAGATTATAAAATCATAAAAATCAGACCGAATAGCTGATGACAATCCATTTCTTATCTAGTTACTGTTAGATGTTAGCATTTGCATATTTCCTCGCCTGCCATTAGAATCACAAATATTATTATTATGAAATTAGAAACAAAAACAACATGAATCCAATCTTAAAACATCCACAATGGGAGGTTTTTCAGAGCTTACCGAAAAGCTTTTTGACCACCTTACATCAAGAAAAAGCATCGACAACCAATTATCATCTTTTACTTATAACTGTAAATCCTTATAATAAGTCTTTTTTTTATTAACCTGGATATCCAACCCGTTATGCAAGCCGACTAATCTCAGGACGACCATCAGCTTTGCAGATAGTCCGAAGTCACTGCATTTGAACCTCCTTGTACTTTTGACCTTTGGAGCTAAGCTCAAACCAATTAGGCACCACCCTTGTGGTTTTTTTTTTTGTCTTAATATCTAACCACGTGGATCCCACTTTTTACGAAAAGTTTTCCCAAAAGAACTTTCATGAAGAAACTACATCATTGTGGATATCATTAAAGAAATTTATATTTGATTTTTTGAATCATTGTTTGTACAACTTTTTTTAAACGGAATTTGTATAGTTTTTTTAATGAAATAAAAAAGCATTAATTTATGCTAAAAGTATAAAACCATTATATACACATTCCGTAAATTAGTTGGATTTTGAAACACCAAAAGACTCCCCTAACTTCCATTTTCCCATTCTCTCATCAAATTCTCATGAATAACCCTAAAAAGCAATGAGTTTACCTTTCACTTCACGTTTCATTTGCTTAATACCTTCATCTTTTCTCGCTAATATGTGTTAAACTGCATGAATTACACACATTATACATGCATATATTTATCTCTCTCTTTCTCTATGTATATATATATATATATATATATGCATATGTATATTATACATATAAAGATTAATCACCACCTCAAAAGAACCATCAAGATCATGATATGCATACAAACTCAAAGATGAACTACAAGCAAGCAAACGTACCCTTCTCATGGGAGATGATCCCTGGTGTACCAAAGTTTATGGCATCTCCGATAGCTGAAGGGCATTCAGGTAAGGAGGTGATTGGCCAAAAAGATGATCTTGCACCTCCACCACAACCACCACCAGGGTCTTCTCGAGATCCAGTTATGAGAAGAAGTGTGTCGTTGTCGAGAAAGATATTCTGGAGGGAGGAGGACCCTTTTTTGGCTGCTTTCAAAGAGTGTTCGAAGGATTATAAGGTTAAGGGTGACCAGATGAAGAAGAGGTTTGGACTTGGAAATAAGGTTTCATTTTTGTGGTGCAAATGTTCATTTGATGTGGAAGACGGTAACTTGAGGAAGAGGCCGTTGTCAGTGGCTTGTGGTGATTCGCCTGTGATTTCTCGAGAACGAGTTCACGGTTTGATTCAAATGCATAAGGGTTTGAGGAAGTGAGATACATGGATGAATAATAATAATAATAATAGTAGATGTGGGTTTCTCGATTTACTTTTTTTTAAGTTTTAAATGTTCTTAAACCTCGATTTGGAAAAGTTAATGATCAATCTTGTTGGTATCTAGGTCAAAGTGTAAATATTTTGAGAACAACCAAATAATATTATGAATTAATAATTAATGATGGATATTTGTGTATAATTTATAGTTTTAAAATAAGCTTTCACATATTAATACATACATATAAAAATTACTTTTATAAAATTTTAATATTTAATCTACTAATAAAATACTCCAAGAAACAGAAAATGTATTGGAATTTCAAGTAAACAGAAATTTTGTATAAGTTTTGCCTGCTATGAAAATTATTAAATAGTTTTTCAGTCATTGAGTTAAATTGTTGAGTTTTTAATTGTATTTTTTAAACTTAGGTTTTCAAAATTGATCTAATTGTTTATATTGATTTGTTCAGATTAACTTTTTAAATATGGACAAAGCGTCCCACCTTAGTTATAGCAGTTACTGTCATATGTGATACAGTTTACATATATGAAGACAGTTGAGTTTAAGTTTGGATTCAGGGTATAGATCCTACATATTATATACAAAAAATAATCAATATTGTTCGTATTTTGGCTGTTAAAAATCATCAAAACAAATTGATTGCAAGATCAGCAAAATCACATGACTCGAGTGCATGTAAATCGAGATGATTCTATTATATGCTCTACAAGAAAACTTCTGTTAAAGTATATAATACAACGAATGTGGAAAGATGGATGAACTCAACCAGCAAATAAACGTTAGATCTTGAGGCTCCTTCTCATAAACTTTTAGTTCGAGTTTAGGGATTTTCTTGACTGTTATCTTCGAGGCTTCTTGGATTAGTCGAGGTGTATGCAAGCTGACCCAACCAAATGGTTTTGTTGCGGGAAGAAAAAGTTAAAGGACGGGTTTGAAAACATTAAAAGATTGGGGGCTAATATGAAAAATAGTAATGGTTTTGTTTAGGGATGGATTTTGAAAACATTTTAAAGACTGGGGGCTAACTTGCGAAAGGATATGAATCTTTTATCCATGAGCAGAGAGAGAGAGCCACAACCCTTGTTCGTTTACCACTCTTCCTCCCATAAAACCCTTCTTAAATCGTATTTACAGTAATTCTTGAAAACAGCAAATCCATGGCGATTATATTTTCTTCTTCGAACATGATAATGGAGATCAGAAATCATTACTCACCATCTCCGTCATCGGTAAAAGCTTTTGCTTTCTCAAAAGGGATTTTTGTAAACCCTATCAACTTGAAGATTGATTCAAATTCCAAGCATAAGCCATGCTCTTTCGCAATCAAAGCCTGTCAGGCTGAATCGGTAACTTATTATTTTTTTTTCCCGCGTATAACATTTGTTGTGTCAATTACATGCTTCCGTCTGTAGTGCTTATGTGAAATCCTAGGTTCAAATTTCTTCCAAAGGAGCATTGTTTATGTGTAGTATGCATTTTTGTTTGTAAGTAATCAGTATGCTGGTGCTATTAATTGGGTTGCATAGTAAACGAGAATTGGTACAATGGGCAACATCTGTGACCAATTACGATTTCCAATTCATAGCTGCAATAATTTAATTATGCGGTTTTTATTTAGGGTTAAGCTAGGCATCATAGGATGGAACATTGGGACTAAGGTCTAGGAGAATTTGTTCAACTTGTCTGTAAATTGTTGATAATGCTACATGATAGTAATGTTTTATCCAAGAATCTTATGAGTCTTGACCTGTTGATAAGAAACCTAGCCTCATGCTTCTCAAAGGCATGACTTATAGTGACAAATCTGTATATTGTACACATAATTATATATACACATATGTTTTCTGCTATTATTCAATAAATCAATGATATCGAACAATTAATCAATTTAGTTTATATAAAAAGACTAAGATAATACATACAATTATCTTAGAAAAAAGGTTTAATAGCACAATAACAAAAAACACTGTTCTACTAATGGTTCCACATACCTCTAATCTAAGACCAACATATACTAAAAACTTAAAAAGGTAAAAAGATCAAAAGTAAAAAAAATCGAACAGCGCCTTACAAAAAATGCACATCGGGCCATGGCATGCCATGGGGGTTAGCATCGAAGACGAGCCTAGCACCATGGGGTTCCTTTTAGAATACTGTCGGTAATCAAGAAGCAGCAGAGCTGATTGCGTGGTTATCTTTTATATGGTTGTGTTAGAGCAGCCTGAGAATTCAAAATCTGCAGACTTGTTATCAAAGGCTTGGTTGCAGGGAGATTTGGAAATCATGCATGGCAGAAAATTCTACCAAAAGGAGAAAGGCATGGTGGATATCATCTTGTATGAGTAGTTCTCTGACTTTTATAGGGTGTTGGAAATGGCCACATAAGAAGTAAGGCCTTGAAGTGTGTTTTGATTGCTGGTATGACAACAAAATGTTACAGACTTGAAGTTCTGGAGAATGGTTAAAAGGTAAAAACCTTGCAGCTGAGGAACGCGAGCTTCTTTGCTGTTAACGTGTAATGCTAATTTGGTTCATGTAGCAGTTGCCACTTTGTAACACCTTAAAGTCCAAATAAGATGAGTGGTGAAGTGTTTCTGGATCAACTCAAACCATGGTCGGAAGTTATTAGTAGCCAACTACGAAGAACTTATAGGACTTACAATTCACAGCCCAACAGATGTGGGACGAGATGTTATGAACTCCTCCAATTAATTTTCTTGACGTTCTTGTTAGCCCTACACAGAAATGCAAATAGAACCATTATCTTTATGCGTAGGAGTTACATACCCATGAACATTGAGGAGCCATTGCTACTATTTGTAAAGCTATAATAAATTTGACCCAATAACCTTCAAATTAGCCAAAGCAATGGTGGGAAGTTGTTAGTAGTTATTACAAAGACTTTCAATGGACTTCATATTTTATGTTGACAACCAATGTAGGATGGATGCCACAAAGTCCCTCACTTAGGTTTCAGACATCCATCTTAGAATTGAACATAAACCCAAATAGAATTTGCTTAATCATTATTGTTAGAAAATGCATGACTCCAACCCATTACTCTTTTGAGGGGCATTGCTTTTATACAATGCGTAACAGGTCAATCTAGTAACTTTCTGGTAAACTAAAACCATAATATGAAGTTTTCTGTAAAACCAAACAAACCCAGTATATCTTTGCTTGAAAAGAGGGTTTGTAAGGGGTGGGATGCATGCACCATGCAGTCCGGACAGCTACCTCAAAGGGTAGAATGGTGGTTTCCATAGAGACCCCTGGCTTGTGCAAAAGTGTGAGCGGAAAGGAAAAGACAAGGATAAGAAGGACAACCAAGACACACACATAACAAGCAACAAAAAGAAGAGGGAAAAGAAAAAGGAAAAGGCACAAATAAACCATATCCCAAGTAAGAAAACACACACAAATCCTTCATCCAGCACAAGCCTTTGATACCCTAACTGCCAACTCCCTGAACTTCTCCTTGTCCTGCACTCACCCTCTTTAACTACAATAGCGACAAGTCCACACCTTGCGTCTCCAAGAACTCATATCCGGGTCATTTCCTCAAAAATGTCTAAGGCTGTCATGTCCAACCTCAATTGCTCTTCCCACATCTTCCTCGGTTTGCCCTCCTTCTCGACCGCTCGACCATAACACTCTCTACTCTTCTCATTGGCACCGTCATTGGGCTCATTCGCACGTGTCCAAACCACCGTAGTCTTCCCTCTCCCAATTTATCCGTGATAGACGCAACTCCCATCTTTCCTGGAATACCCCGTGCTGTTCCACAAGTCCATCTGCAACTTCCAACTTCCTCTCATAGGTTTTCCTTAACGTCCAAAACTCGGATCCATACAACTTGCTTGTCTGATGGCTACCCTGTAGAACTTTCCACTATGCGAAAAGTGAACCGTTTTTGTATGGGGCAGTATAAATTGGATTTAGTTACAAATATAAGTTATTTTTTATCCAAATTGGTATTCCCCAATATGTTGGACTCCATCACTTGTTCATTGTAATTGGATGTGGTTTAGTCAGAATGGTCCTTGATGAACTCATATATGGAAAACTGATCCCGGTTCATTTACAAGCCTAATTGTATGGTACTCTCTAATTTGTGGCATGGTATGATTCCAATTCTAGATTGTTTAAATTGAAAACTTAGGTAAGACAAGATGATTATGTGCATGACCTTCCCATGCACGCATCTGTGGCCAGGCACCCCATCCTGTGCACACACGATGGATGCACATGTGCGTCCCCTCCATGCAGATATACACTGTAATGTTGTGTACGATCCATGTGAACTGTTAAGTGTTTTGCTATATATAAACTTGTGTTTGTGCCATTTTTCTGTTTATATGTTCTAACCCTTTGTATACTTCCAATGCACTCTGTGTTGCTTAAATCATAATTCTTATTTCCAATGGAAAATGGCATCACAGGACCGGGACTTTGTGGCCAAAGAACTTGAAGCCAAGAGAATCATGGTAACACCAACCAAGCCTGAACTTGACAACTTCAAGGAACCTGAACTGGAAAAACAATCCTTAAAATTTGTTGAGGCAAAGAAATCAAGTGCATCATCCTCAAAGGAGAAGATCGTCACCCAAACATCATCAATGGACTATCAACAGGTTCTCAAATATCCTCTCGTTACTGAAGCTGCAATGCATAAGATCATAGAAGAAAATACATTAGTTTTTATGGTTGACGTTCGTGCTAACAAGAAAGACATTAGGAATGCCTTTGAGAACATGCTTAAGATCAAAACCAAGAAAATTAACACATTGATCAACTATGATGGCACAAAAAAGGCTTACATACAGTTAACATCTGATAATCAGGCTGTTACCGTGGCTAAGAAAATGAAAATTTTGGCTTAACGTTTTTGTTGTACGAAGACTAAAATTTGTGTTCTTTAAGGATTTCTGTTGTATATAACAAGGCAATTGAGGATGAAGACGACTGTCTGTTTTGGATCTTGATCTGGCTTTATCCCCTGGTAACCATTTACCTTCAATTCATGGCTATATGTTTAGTGTAATTCTGAATGTGCTTTTCTTAAGGCTTGGACCACTCCCTTGTTGCTTTTAGTTTGCCGTTGTAGGAAAGTGGCATTCTTAAAACTATTAGAAGGTCATGGATTTAAAAAACCCGTTAGGACACCGACACACGTGTGAGACTGTGATCTGTTTGTCTGTGAAATAGAAAGCATGCAAATAAGCCATACACAGATTGGAGATTCATTAAGGTGAAGTTTGTAGTCTATTGACTTAATGAGCATAAGCTTTTGTGTTTTTTTTTTTTTGATGTTGAGGTTTTAGTAAAATCTAAAGTGATACGGGCAAAGTTGCTTTTGGTGGTTGGGAAAGTGAGATTTTGAAGAGAAAAAGAATTCCAAATTTACCAAAAGATGGAGATCTTGAATGATAAGAGAGGTGATCTTTTGTCTTTTCTTTTGCTCCCCATCTGCCCATTACTTGGAACTTGCCATAACACTAGCAGCACCAATTAACCTTATCTAAAGTGATTTCACATCTGTAATCAATAATTTGCTTATAATCTGAATATTTTTGGCTAAAAACACAGATTTTTCTGGTATTGTTGTATGCAGCCTTTTAAGGGGTGTTTGCTATTGCTTATAAAAATAACTTATTAACTTATTTCGATGTGGTACCGGTAATAAGCACTTTTGAGTGTTTGGATAAACAACTTATGCCGGTGCCAAACCGGTAATAAGGAGTTTTTAAAGAAGTTAAACCCTTCTGACTTATAATAAGTTGATAAGTGTTTTTGTAGAAAAGAATAAGTTGTTTCAAGTAAGCAATCCCAAACACCCCCTAAAATTCAAAATCAAGACAATTAACAAAGGTTTAAAAAAAACAGAATCGAAACTTGAGGCGTTTTCCTTCCATGCCCTGAGGCGTAAAACAAATAATATTTGTAAATATTAATGCGCCTGAAAAACGCCACACCCCTCAGACGATTTTGAAAACCATGCAATTAATGCATTGGAAAATGAAAAAATAAGTCTTGTCCTTGATGTTGATATGTTGCATTAGCAATACATAGGGGTGCATATAGCCTATCCTTTTTTGTTAACTATGGGTGTCCGGGCCAGCCTATACGCTCCTCGACTAATACCAGGCCCGACTCGAACTAGTGACTTTGAGGAGGATCTCTAAAGGCTCAAGTCTTATTGTAAGTTGAGCTATAACCTACAAGATCTTATAATTAATTATTGTGAATTTAAGGTGACGTTTGTTTTTGAGGAAGTGCTGAAGTCTTATTTACTTCTGATTTATAAGAAGTGACAGTGAAGTCTGAAATCTGAATCAATAAGACTGTTTGTTTTTGTAAATTGATAAACTTTTGAATTTGTTTAAATTGTCTATTTTACTCATTAAAAAATTATAGTGCTGAATTTATAGATAAATATTTATACAATTTCACATATTTATTCATCATCATTACGAAATATACATCTAAATTATATACTTAACATTCATTTAAACAAAAATATGTCATGAACGGTATTTAACACATTTAAATCATATTAAAATACATCAATTAAGAGAGATGGGGATTGATTTGGTAGGAGTCGATTGAGAGAAAATGATCGATTAAGGTTAATCAATTAAGAAACACCATTGTTGAGGGGTTTACAGAACAATTAGAGGTAAATAAGATGTTGGTTTACCTCTTATAAAATAAAAAGACAATAAAACATAATTGCATTTAAAAAACTGAAAAAAACATACAGTACCTATGAACGAATCAAACAAAGTTGATAGTGTCGGTAATAAATTTTAGAGCATATTTTAATCACTGACAAAGATTTGGATGGTTATTTGTATGTGTTATATTATAAAATGTTGCATATGTTTTTGAAATATATGAGTAAATGATGTTTAAACTTATCAGTTATTTGGGGCTCATATTCATATAATAATAAAAGTGAAATGTGGCTCCTACCTTCACAGAAAGATCTTGTTTCTTTTATTTTTATATTTATATTTATAATAAAGATGTTCATAAAAGTAATCGGGTCTTTTTGACCCGAGTCTGGTTCAAGTTCAAGCACCCAATCTTTTTGGATTCCTTTTAATATATATATATATAGAGAGAGATCCATTTGAATTTATATATATATATATATGGAGGGAGAGAGAGAGAGACAGAGAATGCTTTCGTTTAAGAACTTTAAATATTTTGAGAATTTAATAACCATCTATTTTATATATTATTCATGATAAATAACCTCAAATAATAATGAATATTATATCCATCATGAATACCATTTAAGATAAGTGGGTTCGGAATTCTGTTCTTTAAACAAATCCTCTCTCTCTCTCTCTCTCTCTCTATATATATATATATATACTATATTATAAGCATTTGACAAAAACTCTTAAAAACCACTTTTTATGCGTAAAGTACTGTTTAATAATGCATATTACTTAAAACTTAATATTGTAATTAGATTGTGCGTAAGTACAGCTTATTAAAGCTCCATATATGAATTCGTGTAACTAACTACAGATAAACATAATCAAATACATGATAAACATCTCATTTTAAAGATAAAAAATCTAAAATATAATTAGAATAATTATTAAATTCTAACATAATACTTAATTATTATCTTTATAAAATTTATAATATTAAACAAAAAATAAATTATTTCATTATTAAACTTAAATTAAATTATAATAAAAAATAAATAATACATAAAAAATGAAAACTTTTAAATAGTTGATTTGATATTAGCATTGATATTTTTTTTCCAAGTTTTTATGATATCTTCAAATTTATATTTTATTCATAAATATAATCATTGTTGCTTTATTAACAACACATAAAATCGTATTATAACATCGACAAAGACAAATAATAAAATAGAACATTAAAATCGAGATGTGTCTCGCTACATTACACGAATACTTTTTTTTGTATATATATATATGTGTGTGTCTAATATTAGTTGAGAGGAAAACTTTTAAAGGTAAAGGATGATGTGTAGTGATGGATGGTTTAGGGGATGTACCTGGAAACCAGTCATGTGAATGATCTCCAACAACTTTGTTTGTCGATAACATAGACTTTGACTCAACTCAAACACATTGTATGATTGTTTGTTAAATCACTACTTTTGGTTTACATTTAAAGAAATAGGCCACGAAATATAATGAAAATTAAGTATAATTACCGACACAAAATAAAGCCATGGGTTGAAAAGTATTACTGTTTGATTTATAAAAGAATGGATTTTTAAAATTCAATCTCAAGTTTTAATTGTATAGTTTTGATGGGATCTGGTGCATGAAATCCAACCTTAGGGATAGGTTCAAAAGATTCACATGCTCTTGTGGATGTCTTCCATTCCGATGCATAATTAATCCTCCTAACATGTCTTCAAGATAAATTTAGAAGGTTATTGGCCTTATATGGGTGCATATAACTAACTGGTCACGGATTACCGAGACTGTTGAGGTTTTATCGATCTGTCCCAACTAGTTACTTTATTTGAAATCAAATCAGTACTATACTAGGCCTCGGGTAAGCATTGTCTACAACATCTTCAACAACTTTTCTAAAATTGAGAAAAATGAGGTTTTATTTTACTCCAATAATTTCTCTATATTCTCTAAAATCTTATGTGTGGAGAAAGATTGATTTTTTATTCACTCGCACCAATGAGATTGAGAGATTATTTTATATAAATTTTTATAAAAAGTGTATTGAGATGATAAATTTACTAGAAGCATGCTCGTGTAATGCAACTCGATTTTAATGTTTTGTTTTATAATACCGTTTTGTATGGTTTCGAGAAAACGATACTGTTTTTATATTTGAATAAAATATAAATTAGAAGACCCATATTTTTTTTATCAATATTAGTATCAAATTAACAATTTAAAAGTTCTTGTTTTTTTGTATAAAATTAATTTAGGTTTAATAACGAAGTAATTTATGTTAGATCTAATCATATAATGATCTTTATAAAGATAATTTTTAATTCAATCTTTTTATTATTTAGGTTTAATGACGAATTAATTTATTTTAGGTTTTATAATATAATTTTTTTTATAAAAATAATAATAAAATATTTTGTTAAAATTTAATGATTATTCTAATTATATTTAACATGAGTTGTTTATTTTGTATTTGGTTATATTTATCAGTTAGTTATATGAATTCAAATACATAACTTTAAAAAGTTGTACCCATGCATCATTTACTTGTAATTTTGAATTTTAAGTAATACGTATCATTAAACCGTACTTGATGTACTAAAAATGGTTTTTAAGAGTTTTACCCAAATATTTTATAATATAGTATTGATAAAATATTTTAATAATATAATAAGTATTGAAATATTAAAACAGAGAACTTGTTGAAGTTAAATATAGTTCTTTTAAAAAAATTAACTTTTAGTTCTCTATTTTAGAGAATTGTTGGAGAAATTCTAAAAACATCTTTTAAATAGATTCTCTAAAATAAAGATTTTGAAGATTTTTGTTATAATAAATTCAAAAAGAAAAAAGAGGAGAGAGATGTTAAAATTCTCCAAATTTAAAGAACTTAAAAAAAAAAAATATTATTTATGAAAGAATTTCTTTTTATTCTTTCTATATATCAATGAAAATATTTAAAAATAAATATGTAAAAAAATGAGTAATATTTTATTAAAGATATTAAATATTTTATAAATATAATTGAGCATCTCCAACCGATGTTGCTAAAATTTAGATCGGCTTATAGAATTCTACACCGTTGAGAAGAAGCGATACAGTTTTAATACAAAAAGGGAACGGTTCATATATATGAACGGTTTCTTAATCAAAATGGTGGGACCAATCCAATTAACAAATAACAAATAGAAAATAATTAGACTTAAGATTATACAGCCGGTTCACGATTTAAAGTTATAAAATATTTAAGAAAAAAATCTATATAGCAAAGAGGTGGATCAGATATAACAAAACCTTAAAATAGAACCGACAATTTAAGAAATTTAATATATTACCAAAATACAGGGTCCGAATTTTAACACTACAAACTTCAAACTGATTGAATAAGCTCGTTTCAAAATTTTCAAACCGACCAACCAATCATGAAATCAACGTCCAATATACGCAATAATTACTAGATTAAAAGGTATCAATAATTCTAATTAAAGTAAATTAAGCATCATGCACCGAATATACTTTACATCCAAATATGTAAAGTATCAAGAATCCTAACAAAGATTAATTAAAGAACTAAGCAATATAATAATCACTACATCAAACGGTTTGCTTAAGCAACCATTTTCCAAGACTTACATACATATATATGTATATATAATACATAATTACAATATTAATTTTTTATATAAAATTATAGCTTCAAATGCCATTAATGATTAGTGGATCGAAGTGTGACGTGATTAATAATTGCATGGCCATGCAGAAGCTGATAATGGGTGGTGGTGGAGTTCCAGTAGTGCTTGATGTAAGTAGCATAGTTTTTGTTGGAGCATCACGGACTCTGATCGGAGTCTCTGGTTTTCTCGCCGGAAAATTTGTCCATGGTGGTTCACAAACATTAACCGCTTCATAAGTTCCCGGTTACCGGTCTCATATCCACTCAGCCGGTTCCTTAAAGTCTCCAAGTGTTTTTGTTTTCTCAATCGGGATCGTCTTGCCGACTCCCGGTTTGATATCTTCCTTCTCCGGCGAAGTTGTTCATCGACCGGATTAAGATTTTTTTCACCGTCGTTGGAACCGGAACTTGAGGTGTTGGTTTTTGGTGTGGAGTTGTTGTTGTTGTTGTCGTCGGAACCAGAGAAGACGATGACCGACGAGTTAACATTTTGAGGTGGGAAATCTAAAAGAATGTCGTCAAGGAATCCGGTGAAGGAGAGATGATCGCCGGTGGTGGAGGAGAAGAATGAAGACGACATGGAGATGGCCGGAAAAGCGTTTATCGGAGGAAGGCAGAAGGAAAGGGAAGAAACTATGGATAGGGCGAGGGGTTTTAAAGGGCAGATGTGGAGTGTGGGTGGGGTCAACCCAGGGGCATTCTTGTCATTTTAGAGTTAGGTAATGGTGTGGAGTGGCTTCTAGACTTTTACACACGTTTAAATCCCATAAAATCTTAGGTCTGTTACAGGGCTTTACCATGGATATATTTTGTTTTTATTTTTCTATATATTTTTTATGGAAAAAAAAAGGGACTGTTTATCTAAATGCTTACCCACGTTATTACCTGGTAAGATTCTTGGCATTTGTTATATTCATTCGATGAAGAAATTTATCCGGTAAACACTTACCAAACAAACGTTTAGCAGGGCCGTCCTTGGGGGAGGGCGACACGGACGCACGTCCAGGGCCCAAATTTCTCCCTAAAAATACAATAGTAGTCTAAAGGAATTTAATAAATTAAAAAAAATCCAAAAAATTGTAGCATATAATAAGGAGCAAAAAGAATTTAATAGATAATAATGGCACAAAAATATATCAATTAATTACATTCGAAAAGAAAATAAAAAAATTAATTGGTCATTTATTATATGCTATTGTTTATTGTCTCTCTAATTTTTTTGTATCTCCAATAAGGTCTAATGATATTGACTATTACTATCTCTATATGCTTGACTGTTTTTGTGCTTCAACAATTCAACTTTAAGATCATGTGCTTGGTATTCCTATATATTTTTGTTAGATATTTTTATTGATTTCTGTTTCTATTGACTATTGCTATTTGGTTATTTTGTTCTAATTGTTTTTGTTGACTATTGTTATCTATTTTTGCTTCTATACATAAAATATTTTACTATTGTTTGACAATCAATCTATTGTTCTTATAATTTATGACGTGTTTCATGGTTTTGTGATTAATGAATAAATTTTTTCTACTAGATGTATTTAAWAATGTCTCTTATATATGTCATGTTCCATAAACTTTTAATCTTAACATCTTATTTTAGTTGAACAAAGAGAGAAAGAAAATAGAATTTAGATATTTTCATCAATTGTTTGACTTATGTATCTTTCATTAGGATTCCATCACACCACAAGATTCTATTTAAGTGCTCAAATAATCATTTGTTGAGCTTGCATATTATATGTTTAATTCATTATTTATTCTTATTGGATCTCAATTGATCATCTTTTCTTTCATATTTTTATTGATCCTCATTTGTCTACTTTTATAGAAAACCTTCATAATCTTATTTATTATTGATGTCTCATTGACCCTCATGATTACTTCATTCACACGAATTCTCTTTTTGTATCAAAATAACACATATTTCTTGTTATTAAGATTTATTTCCTCACATAATTATTAGCATTTCTTGTACTCAATTTTATACTAATGAAAAAAAATTATTGAATTTTTTTCCGTACTCACCGAGGGTCATTACAAGAAAAGTGAACTCTGACGATGCACTTTTTAGAGATGACATGTTTCCGCTACAAGTTATATCATGTCGTTGTTATATATTCTTTCTGATTATAAATGAACTTTATGCGACGACAAAAGTCGTTGCCTTATTTCTTGCAGTGAGCCCTGTTTTTACGTTCGTCCAGTGCCTAAAAAATGTCAGAAACAGGCCTGACGTTTAGTAAACGGCTCCTAAGTGTGAGAAATAACTCAATGACATCTCGTTTGTGGGATTTATCGATGCTCTTCATATTTTAGAGGGATGGGTTTGATCACATGGGTAAGGGAGGGAAATATGGTGTTTGCATGCATAAATCATAAATCATTAAGCCGATTTCAAACACTACAAAATGGTTGTGCGAATAAGTTAAAAGACTCGTTAAACTCATCAAATTGTTTCCAAACAGACCCTAAATATCAGACAACAAGTTCTTATTCCAACCTGCTTTATTTGTGTTGTCTGACATATAACAGAAAAAAGTAACTAATAAAACAAAGTACAATACCTTTTTGCATGAGATGATATCTCATATGATAACTATGGTTACTAATTACGATGATAAAAACGTTATCTTTTTCCTTACTTTGATGATGTTTTAAATTGTTACTCTTTCCGTTTCAAATTATGTCCACAATGAAAATGGTTTTAAATTACTACTTTCTCCGTTTCGTTTACAATAAAAATGACATACAATTTTAGGATTATGTAATTATTACATTTTTAAATAACTAAATAGTATTTTTATTCATGAAGAGTTTCTCTAACTCATAATCAATAGTAGAATGAGAAACGGAAAACTTATGTTAGAAAATAGATATTTATTTAAAGTAAATTAAAATATAAATATAAACATAACGAAAGGGTTGTTTATTTACCTATTAATGGTTTCATTAAGAGTCAACATCTGAATCGTTAAGAGATGAATCTTGTTTGGCAAAAAAAAAAGTCTGCCTCTTAATGATTCTAAAACCCTCTGAATGATTTTGTATCATTGATCTCCCTTACCAAACAATTATATTTCATTTTGCACTATATTATAAAAGCCTCTTTTGCACCAAATAATTCAACAATTATCAAACAGATCCGAAGAAGAGTGTAAAATAAGTAGATAAAAATACATTTATAAGATATGTAAAATGAAAAAGGAAATATGAAGTTAGATATGCTTAGTTAGGAAGAAAGAAAAGAGGTGAGATGGGTGTTGGACAGATGTCAGCACCCGATGGACCGGTGGGAATGGCAGCCAATAAGAGGAGAGTTGCTTACGTGGATACAAGGTGTCAGCGCGTAGGGTTAAAACTAAAATTAAAGGGTAAATAAAGGGATATCGTCATGATCCATGGACCTGTAGAGATCCCGCAATATGGTAAATGATGTCGGCCTTTTAATATAAAGTGGATCATACCACTTTTTATCCCGTAACTCCATAAGTTTTACACTAAACGGTATTTAGGATTGATTATTTGAAAAACTTATGTTTTTCTATATCAACTAATTATAAATTTATATGGTTTGATTTTTTCAAAAACTTTTTATTATCGATTTGACATCGATATAAGTTGTTTATTTAAACGCTCAAAAATATTTATTACCGATGTCACACCGGAATAAATTAATAAGTTGTTTTTATAAGCAATCTCATACACCCCCTAATTTACATAATTTGTCTATATGGTTTATGTGTGGTTGGGGAAACATACACCCCCAATTCGTAAGTGCACCACCTCTCTTAAGTTAAAGTCAATTAATTATAATTATTAATATTCTTTTTAAAAATATATGTTTTATAACTTTTCTTTAACATTAATTTATGTTTTTATAATAAAGTTTCTTCCATTATTTTTTTCTTTCAAAAATTTATGTTTTATAACTTTTTTTCAACATTGTTTTTATTTTATTTTTGTAAATTTGTGTTTTATAATAAATTTTAGTCAACTGACTATTTCTAAATTAATTCAAATAACTATAAAATTATGTTAATTTTTATAATTGTATTGTTAACGTTTTAATTAATTAATAATTTACAAATGTAATTTTTTTTAAATAAATATTTAAAGCTTCAAAGATAAAATAATTTCATACAAAAAAAAATTATCAAAATAAGTTAATTGATAAATCAACAAATAAAGTATAAAACGTTTGAAAATATTACAACTCAATCAAGTGAAATAAATTCCATAGTACGATTACTAAATAACAGTTGCTCGTACTTATTTATTCGGGTCATGTACGGAATAGTCCATGCGGTTGCGCAATCATATTTGAAACGAAACCAATTTGACACGATTGAAGATATTGGGTGCCCTTCTGCCAAAGATATTTTGACGTAATGATTACCGTTAACGTACTCAATTGTAAAAGCAACATGTTCATACCACGACGGATGACTGGATCAAATTGAAAGAATGTCAGATTACCTATAGTTGTTAAAGAATGTAGTATTACATTGTATCTTGAAACAATCAACAAGCCCGTTTCAAAAACATTCATCCAATGCTCACTTGGTGTAAATAAGTCCAGCTCAAAGAAATTCAAGGAGTTATAAAGCTGATATCATCAATGCCATACACCTTGAGATATTTTGTCTTGTATGTTTAACTCCTCCATTAAATCATATCGAATAGATGACCATTTGTCTTCGTGGCGACCGAGACAAATGGCTATCGCTCGAAATCCACATTTTCCATCATCTTTTACATCTTGTACCCGTGTGATGTAAAAATGGAATTTATTTAAAAATTGATTAATACATTGAGATGGAAAAAAATAACTTGCATGAACTACGTTACGTACTTGCACGATGTAAGGATGAAAGATACTTGGAAATTGATTAATGTATGGATGCGCATATTTTTTTGGTCGAAGTATGAACTATGTAATTTCACTTGTTTATTGTTCGCCAAAACATCAAATTCCACAAATGGTGACGTGTAACTATGCCTATGAGGTTCTTGAGTTGGTGGGTCGACACAATTTTTTTTACAACCTTACTCTTCAATGAGGGATGACCATGAGTTGTTGTATGAATACTCGGTTCACCAATACGAGTTGTTTAAGGCACAATTATCCCCCTTAATTTTCTTAGAAAACTAGACTTCATAGATCTCGACTGTTTTTTGAAGTTCTCAGTAAACATTTGCACTTCATCATCACAACAAATATAATCATCTTCCACGGATATACACGATGATGAATCAAGTTTCCTCCAAAATCCGACAATTGATTCAAGTGGAATAGATTGGTCTGCATTAAAATTTTGCATCTGAATTTTTAAAGTTTTTATTCGATTTTTATAAAGACAAACTATACGACTATATACATATGGTTAAAATTTATAAAATTATAAAATAAATGATATATTATTTTTTATAAATAACAAGGATTATTGTCTTTCCAATTTATTGGTTTTAATGTTGATTAATATATTATACAAATAAAAATTATAATTACTATAGACTAATTATTATTATCTATTAATTAAAAAAAAAAGAGAGAAAAAAAAAAATAATGTCATT